ATTGCATTGAATCTTATTGTATATAAATGTTATGTAATGTTTATATAAATATTTGGTGCGACAAATAAATAAATAAAAAAATGCTTGCTTTTGAACACCATTCAACATATTGAATGGCACCGGGAATTGCAATAACAGTGCATTGCATTGGCATTTCAATGGACACAACAAATGAGTTTTTTCAGCCTTTAAAATAGATTGTACTCTAATTTACAAAAAAAATAATAATAATTGTAATCAAATAATAGATTTATAATATTATATTAAAATGAGATTATTTTCAAGTTATTATTATTAATAATAAAATAAATACTTAATATATTTGTTATCAAACAATAACTGAAACAATTAATGCTAAATAATTAAATATATATTGAAATGTTTGGCACTCGAGAGTGTCGGCACTCTCTTTATAGCACTCATTGTCTATTGATTTGCTGTTGCATTCAATTTATTTGGTAAAGAAATTGCCGAACAAAACAACATTTTATTGTTATTTAAGTGGCTCTCAGATAACAAACACACAGAATATCTCCCATTGAAGATAACGGTACCATTCAATGGATATATACCGACCGATGAGAGCACCTATCAAGTGATATGGAAAATACTATATTAAAACTATTATCTTATAATTTTAAAGATTTATATTAATAATGACTCTATGCAACACATAATCGGACTTAAATCCCATAATAAACCTTATGTTTGTCAAACCATGTGCTTTATTAAGCTATTTAACAGTGCATTTAACGGTAGCCGCAATCAAAGTTTAAGCTAAATTGATAATTATTTTCCAATCATTAGTCTTTGTTATCGTACTTTATATTAATAGAGAGCTTACAAAACTAATACCTATTACAGTATATCATTGTTTTTAGTATTCAATATTATATTTAATTATAATTATGATATATCATATGTATACATAAATCATATATACTCTATTTAAATATTTAAATGAAATTTATTTTACTATCAATATAAATTTATATTACATACAGTACTAATATTACAATTTAATATATTAACAATTATTAATAATATTTGGTTATAATATATTTTATGTTTTTATTATTTAATGGTTAATAGTTAATAATAATGTAATATAAATAACTATTATATTAATAACTATTATACTTATATATCAATTGGTAATGTATTTGAGTGATAAAAGAATAGATTGTATTATAGAGTATTTACGGGCAAATAGACTGTTGTTATGCATAATGTATGTGTCATTAGACCATTGTATCGGTTAACAAGATTTGACAAAAACACATATCATTTGTATTGATATATACTGTAAGGTTTATGTCGTGACTGTTGGCAATGTTTGTTGTGGCAGTGTTTTGGTGCTGTTATGCCTGTGTCTCAGTGCACCTGCATGTCTATGCTTTTATGTCTATGTGTGCCACACAATAGATCACTAATCACACCAGTAATACATTTTGGTTGAACGCTTTTTTCAATACCCGAAACACAATAGGCGTTAATTTTATTTCGTGTTATTTTCTCTTTTTTTTTATTTTCCTTTTCATTGCTATTTATTTCAATACATGTATACAATTCGCGATTTTTTAATGACAAACACAACACTCACAATAGTCTTAACAATAACTAAATGTAAAAAACAAATTCAATAATACAAAACAAAGAGTTATATACAAAAACACTTTTCTAATGAATGACTAAATAAATATGTTTATGAAATGTCTAACAAAATTAAGGTTTTTCCTATTGGGGCTCTCTTTTTGTATGTATTATACTGTAGTATCGTTAGCAATATAAGTCATGCAGTGATAAAACACTTTCACTTTATGGTCGGTGCTGTTGATGGAGAGGGCGGGGATGTTGTGATGCTAGTGATGACAAAACAGTAAAACTATCAGTAATGATGAGATATACTTCTTTACAGTACAGTAGTTGTCTCTCTATTCCGACACCAAAAATGTTTGTCAAAAGCCGATGAATGTGTGGCTCATTAGACAGTCAATTGTCTCGTCGTTTACCAACTAATTCTCTATTAAATTCTGTGTTAAACTCTCTCCTCTTTCACAGTTATTGTCTCTATAGTTATAGCTTTTTTGTATTTATATAATGTGTTATATAATATAATAGAGTATATAAATATAAAACCATTTCCCCTTAATTTAGTTCACTTTACTCTCTTTATATTCGTCTCTCTCTCTCTCTCTCTCTCTCTCTCTCTCTCTCTCTCTCTCTCTCTCTCTCGTCTATTCAAAATATCAATGCAATTGAAGCCATGTATTCATTTAGAGACATATTTTTGATGTTAAAAGCAAGAAAACATAGGAAAAGAAAATTTTCATTTATGTCTTAACAAAAACACTGAATAAAAGCGTCCAAAATAATAGATACGATATTGTTATACATAGAACCAGAGTTATACTGATAACAGCTTTTATTGTATTATTATATTAGGAATCAATTGAAATACATGTTAGTCATTGTTATTATGAAATGTTTTACAATTGCAGTCATTTTCCTTTAGTCTCTTGTGTTTACTTTTCGCGACACAAAACTTTTTTCTGTTGATAATACATACATATACAGTATATACTGTATATATATATACCATAAGAAATCTATGATATTTATAAGGGAGTAAAACAACTGGTTATCTCTAACACACCAAACAAAATGTCAAACAATTGCATCCCTATTATTGGCACATATTTTGTGTGTATGATGTTATAAATGTGTTTATATTGCAAACACACTATTTTCTGTATCTATAAAATTTAACAAATATTTATTATTATTAACAATAAAGTTCTTTATTATATATATTTTTTGCTAACAATGATAATATTATAAAACTCAAAATTTACATTAATTTATTATTACTACAGTACTATTCTCTATTATTATCATTTATGAAAGATTTTTTTTATTGTGAATTAAATTTTTCTCGATTATATAAAACTGTTTTATATGCGATATAATATAATTGTTAGTATTTGAAAGTACTGTATGTACTGTACATATACTTGTTATAAACTTTTGTTATATTTGTACACACAATACAGTATATTGCATAATATGACACAATTGAGTGTATAGTTAGTTATGTTTGCTGTCGTATACAGTATGAGACTCTCAATCGAGTGATAAATTCCTCGTTGTATTCAATTTGTATGCTCTTTGGATATCATATAATAAACTCAATTGAAAAAAATGTTTTATTATTATTATAATATATTTTTTAATGAAAGCAATCTAATTTATATTTTTTGTATTTACTTTTTTATTTTTTTAGTGATATTGTATTATATTATATATAAAAAAAAATTAGCAGTATATACGAACTGTATCATAAAATGAAAAATATTATTATATAAATTTATTAATGAATGTTAATTTTTTATTTATAGCATTTTACATATGTAAACTGCATAACACGACAAAAATACATATATTATTATATATTAAATAGTTGCACTGTATTATATATTATATATGAGTAAATCTGAGCTAATTAAATTATTATACAATTCCCACACAAATGTAAAACGTTAATTAAATATTCAGTATATATATATAAATTTATATAAGTATAGATTACTATATATTTAGGAAATAAAAGTTTATAAAATATTAAAAACTATAATAAACAATAAAAATTATTTTTTAAGTTTGTATAGATTAGTGGGTTATACTAAAATTTGATTAGTTCTACTTATTTGTGAATTATTAGAGTGTATTTTATAATATAACATTAGTATAAGTTAAGTTAAATAGTTTTATTTAAAATTTATCATTAAAGCAATGCTGAACTTTAGCTATGTTTAGTAATCAATGTGTAAATGCATTTTATTATCAGATATGGCATAAAACATAATAAAGCAAATTAAATGCAATTGAAAAATGCTTTCATACAAATAAAATGATGAGTGAACACAATTGTTAGTTTTTAAAGAGGATAAAAATTTTTATTATCATTATTATTACAGAGAATATTATTTATATTTTATTATTCAATACATTGTAATAATAGTTTAAATTTATATTTCAATATATATAATTTTTTACAACAAATAATACAATAAATTACAATATTTATTTTTTTTATGTTTTTGTTGTTTATATTTCTCCTATTTATCTTTGCTTTTATTCACATATTATTTTTCTTTCTTTATCTATCACTAAAATACGGTATATTCAATATATGAATGAAATTTATATTAATTTTATTAATTTTATGTATTATGTGTTTATATACTTTAATATAATCGTTATATAAATGTTTTACTTTTATCAATTTAGTTTAATGAAATATTTGTTTAATTTTTGTTAACTTTATTAAATTGTTTGTTTTGTTTGAGGTTAAATTCAATTAGCAAATCTAATACATTGTAACATAAATAATATTTATGTTTTATGATTTAAAAGATATTTAGTTAAAATTGCTTAATTTTGAAAATGATTTAAATCTTTTATGGATTAATTTAAATATTTTCATATATAAAATGTTATGCAAAATGAGACTATTTTGGCACTACAGTTATGAATGTTATGTTTTTTTAAATATTAATTAACTAATTATTTATATAATTAGTAACTCTTAATTGCAATTATAACACTAAAATTAATTACTAATCTGAAAGTCATGTATTTATTATTAAAAAATACTTTTCTTAATAAAAAGATTGTGAGTTTATAAACTCAAATGTTTTTCTCAACAAATTGTAATGATATATGTTTTTGCACTGTTATTATGATATTATTGGCAATATTATAACGTTAACATCTACTCAGCTAAACAAATATGAATATAATACATAATATATATTACATTTAACATAACGGTTTTGGATGAGGGGAAGCTCACAGTCCTAACAGCACACATAGTCAAGTGCTGGTTACATACAGTATGCTAGACTTGTGGTATAATATACAGTAATATATCAATATATTAATGATATAATTAAAAGTAAAACTTAATTTAATTAGTTTTGGATGTAAAAAATAAAATTTCAAACAATAGGAGGGGGCGATAGCTTATGCAAACTTGACATTCGGTCGTCAACTTTAGGTAGACTTGACATGAGATACGCGGCGGCAAACGGATTGTTCCTCAGGTCAGCACTGATTTGTGAGTTGACCGCAGAATGACTGGTCACTGGTGGTAAATGGTAGCCCGGTGTGGGAAGATATGTGCCACAAGCACTGGGATGTAAGTTGTATTGATGTGGATGTGTTGAAGATTGTGTAGTATTCAGATGGGAATGAGCTGACAGTGACGATAATAATGAAGAAGCAGCCGATGAGTAAAACTGAGGTCCAAAAGGGAAACTGCCGAAAGTATCGCCGTTTGTCTTCATGGCTGACGGCGTTAATGAATGATTATTTTTAACAGCGTTGGCCATTGCATTCAGATGACCTCCCGGTGCGTACAATGGCGGTACACTTAATGGAAAAGAGCGAGCGGTGGCCGCCTTTTCACTTTCGAGGGACATTCCGGTCACACTTACCGGTACATCACTTGCGACTGATGTAAATGCTGTGAATCGACCCAATGGATCAAATGATGCGCTCATTGTAGGATTAATATATGTCGGGGCTGTCCCCAAATAGCCATTATCTTTTTTGACCATTGGTTTGGGCTTACGACGCGGTCGATACTTATAATCGGGATGTTCTGTGCACCGGACGTATAGGAAACACATTATTTAATTTGAGGATAAATATAGTTATTTTGAATGCTTTTGACTTGTGATGACTCAAACACCCGTTCATTGAGAAAGTGTCTTAAAAACTAAAAGCACTACTTTTTAACCGCTAATCTAAAATTATTTCCTCAAAAATAATTGTTTAAATTGTCTGAAAATCTATGGTTTCTAACAATAACTGCTTTTCTCTGACAATAATAAGGTGTTTGAGTAGTAGTAGTCAAGACAAGTGTCTGTTGTTGAGTCAGTTAGGTATTGTGAGAGACACTAATTGCAAGCTTAGAGTTATGAATGTGTTTACCTTTCATGTGAAGCGCCCGCAACCGTTTGGCCTCATCGATGAACGGCCTCTTTTCTGATTCAGTCAATAGTTTCCAGTCCTGTCCCAAACGTTTACTGATTTCCGAGTTATGCATTTTCGGGTTTTCCTGAGCCATCTTTCGCCGCTGTCCTCGAGACCATACCTATACGGGTTCAACAATTAAATATTATTTATATATTGTATAAATTTAAGCAATTATAAGTTATTTTTATTCAATCATTAAATTTTAAGTCAATATACTTTGAGAGCAATGATATCAAATTAAATTTTTGTTATATAAAATGTTTTAACAAAATTAGCACAATATTTTTTATTTTAATCAATATTTGAGAAACACTTAAATATATTATAACATTATTTATTATTTTTAAAAAAGTAATATTACTATCTAGAAATAGCTAATAGTTTTCTAAATATTGTTATACAATTTAATTATAATATATTTATATTTTATATTAATAAATGAGAGGTCATAATGAATAGACGCTTGAATTTTAATAATTATCTCATTTGACAAACAGAGATATATTACACTATAAATCAATATTAAGATATAATTAGATAATAAAAATAAAACAAATATACTGACCATAAAAGCATTCATTGGTCTCTTTACGTGATCATTATTTTTTGACATAATTGTATTCATCGTCATTTTTGCCGTTAAAAACCACTATTTTGGTAATAATTTGTCACAAAATATTTTGGAAAACAAATAATTTTTATATATTAAAGTGATTATAACTGTTGTTACACAAAACAAAAACAAGTTGACAACTGCTTCAAGAGATACCAATTGATGCAATAATTTATTAATTTATTAAAAGTAAAAACTTTAATTTACAAGAGTTTTGCAGCGATTAGTATGTGATGTCTTGTCTATCCTTTTCTCAAATAACAATCTCATGAAGTGTTAGTCGACAGACAGCTAACTGTTCACTGAAGAGCACTCTAAACATCAGCTCTCGTGTGTATAAGTAATGATAAGGCGTTACCATTGATGGAGTCCACCCATCGGTTGCACCATTGGCTTAAGTTTTGTAACAAAATTTTCAATTGGTTTTATTATTTATACGTATTCACTGTACGCAATGTTTGCGTGAAACGGACTGCAGGGAACAGTTAGATTTTGCTATTTTATGTGTTGGTTGAAAACAGAATCGGTTTGTGTGTACACAACTATTGAGACAATTTTGATGAATAGAAAAGTTGAGAGAGAAAGAGGAGAGAGAGAGAGAGAGAGAGAGAAAGAAAGAGAGAGAGAGGTCTGAAATGTGATTTGGATTATATTGTGTATCAAATAGTTATCAATAGATTTTCTTCGGTCTGTTTGCTCTCAATTGTCTTGTATTATGGCCTATGAATGACATCAATAGACAATTGTAGATATGTTTGCATAAAGTATAAGAGTGTTAGTGAGTGAGTGAGAGAAAGAGGGAGAGAATTAGTGGATTTAAAAGTATCGGTACCCGTATTGAGCAC